TAACCCTGGTACAACAGGGGTGAATTAGATCCAGTGGTCTTCACCAGGAGCCCCCTGGAGTCAGTGGCAAAACTACTGATATATAAATAACAGCAGGAATATACACACAGCCACTTTCAGGGCTAACACTTTAGTCATTCAGGGGTGTGAAAAAACACACCCCTGAGCGACAAAAGTTTTAGCACTGAAAATGCCAGTATAGACAGCGCTTTACATGGCTTCCGGCGATAAAAGCTACCACCTCTCATTCAGGGTGGTTATTTTTGATCACCGGGAGAGCCCTCCCCCGGCAATAAAGCGTGACTACGCTGCCCATGTCACGGTGCTACCTCAGCCACGCTGTAACATGGACAGTGTAGGCATACCCTTCGGTACTGTAGTAAATCTCATACCCTGCTCTCAGTCAGTCTATCACAAAACTTACATTCAATATCTTGGACTAAGACTCTTGTGAAAATTTCCTGGCTTTCTTGAGGTTTTAATCAGATCCCACCTTATTTTCATGTAATTTTGATGTTTATTAAGCAAAAATCTTTTGTCACTTGAAGCCATCACTATTTCTCCAGTGTAACTCATGGTTCCAGCCTCATGGGAAGGGTATTTTGAATACACTGAAATAGCAATACAGTTTCCATTGAGCCATGATGGCTCCTCAATTGTAATATCACCATGAGAACAACAAAAGCATTGTCATCTCCATGGAAATGTAAGAGACACTGCCATTATCCAAGGAATACTGAGGTTACAGAATGTAATGGCTCTGGATTTCTTGATCTGCATTTCATTGACCCAAAAGGTTTCTTTCTAGCATAGTGTTTATATGGATTTTGGAAACAGCTACTATATGCATATGCAGCAGTTGCTTCTCTAGGAAACAGTCTGAATCCTAAGTGTCTTTCCAGTGGTAGCAATGTTACAAGTTGTAGCGCAGACAGGGTGACGGGCCTTTTTCCAACTATGCTGTATAACTGCAGGACTGCACTGGTGCAAAAAAAAAATATTTATGAATTTTCCCCATTGCAGAAACCTACTAAGTTAATATAGTGAGCCAAATTCTGCTCTCAGTTATACCATTGACATTTGGAGTAACTCTGTGGACTTCAGTTTGGGCCAATATTTTATTTAAAACAGACCTCCAGTGCATCATCATATAATAACTAAATCAATATTAATTTACTAGATCAGTATTTCTCATCCTTTTCAATTTGGCAACCCCTTATTCAAAGTAAAACTTCTTCACAATGACATTTGTGTTAAAAGTAAGAGTAAAAAAAAAGTATCAATGATAAGCATATATAATTTATTAGTGTGTGTGTGTGTATTTTGAAAGGGTGACACAGAATACCTGACTTGAATTGCAATTTGACCACTAACATGCAAGGAAACAGTTTGGGATTTGCGTTTTATTTCACTAGTTGGAGCTTAACTCTCTGAATCATCTGGATTGTTATAACCAAGCTCCACTGTTTAGTCTGTGTGAAAGTTCCAAAGTACCTTTTTAATTAACTTTCCTAGTTGCCACTTCACTTGCCAGCAGGGGTCACTCTCTCTTTCTTCATTTTCATTTAGATCCACATGTCTTATGAAAGTTCCGAGATCTTCCCCAGTGAGACAAGCAATGCCGCTCTTGGAATATGTGTCCTGGAGCTGTGGTAGAAGGCAATAAACTAGTTAATTCACTTAACGTGCAGATATATGATGCATTTCTAAAACTCCTGTGTTTAGGAAAACCCTTTCTGTTCTAAGTAACACCAATATGCTACAGCAAGTAATGATTTTATAAAGGAGAGTTAATCCTGTCTTTACATATTTATTTAGTTACAACCAGATACCTGATATGCAAGAATACACTTACATTTTTATCTCTCTGGTCATAAACTGAACATTCAGAACTCAGCTGAATAAGTTTATGCATTTGCAATATCTACGTCACTAATGCTGAGAATTATTTTATCAGCTCTAACACTGTTAGAATTTAGTTCCTTTACACAAGGGATCTTCCTTCACTGAGGACTGAAGATAAGCCTGAAAATCAGCTGACACTGCTGCCCCACTAACACTGAATATGAGCCCGCACATCAGCCACTAACCCACTCCCCATGTCTGCACTTTGGACAAATTCCACCCCAGATTCAAATCTTGCAGCTTGGGGCATTTTCTATAATGGAAGGGGGCTAGAAGACCACATTCCAAACCCCTTCCCTATGAATTTTGAGGAAGCAGGCACTCGGATCTGATTCCACATCTCAGTCTTGTGACTTGGGCCCTTCTCTACATCATTCAGCTATCTAAAGAGATCATTCCTTCTTCTGAGGTGTAAAAAGAGAGTGAAATCAGGGCCCCACTCAAGTCAATGGCAAAAGTCCCAACGACTTCACTGTGGTCAGGAATAACTTTCCTAGGTATAGTTTAAAAGTAGTAGTTTCAATAGTTTAAAATAATAAAGAATAGAGTGAACAACAAAACCCTTCCTCAAGCTCTGCTGCTTCTGCAGGGGATAATAATAACCCATTATCAAAACTGAAGCTGGCATTTGTTGCTTAATGCAAGAACACAGTAACCTAAGCAGCCTAGAGAGAACTCCTGTAAATTTACAGAACTCAGTGATTCATCATCATCATCATCATCCACAACCCCTGTTAAAACCTGTATGCCAGTAAAGTTTGGAAAGGAAAGAAACCAGTGAACATACAAAGCATTCAGACTGGCTTCTTCTTCTTGATTTAATAGTTTAACTTCAACCATTCCTATCTTAAAGGATTTTTTTTGTTTGTTTGTTAATCTGCTGCCTCTGGATGTTAATTTACTTAACATGTCACAGTTTCAACTATCCTTCAAGCTTGGAACATTCAGCATCAGAGAACCAGGAGGACTGTTCTCGACCCCTCCCCCCACCATTCCCATCCTGTCCTGTCTGCTTGAAAACAAAGGAGGCAAGCCACAGATTTCCCGCTTTAGCAGGATGGAGAGAATTCACCCATCTGACCCTACAAATCTGACCTCACTTAACCTGAAGCTCCTGACCTTTGTGCAGCAGCATCTACAGAGCATTCCCTTATGTTTAAAAATACGACTGTATTCTATAATCATTGACGCAAAATGCTCTGACTGACAGGAGTATCCCTACAGGCTTCTGGATCATTACTGCAGAATAGGGTAGTATTATTAATATAAGATTTCTTACTTTGGGAACGTTACTTAAATTGATGGAAATAAGCTATACAGATATAAGCACCTTTATACTAGTGCAACTGCATCCATGCTAAGGGGTTGGTTTTTAAACCAATTTAATTAAATTGGTACCAAACTTGTGTGTAGACCAGCCCTTACCAGACCACTCTCCTACCAGATCTAGGGACCAGGAAAGGAGAGGGCACTTCAAAACTTTGCTCTTCAACCTGGAAGCAAACAGTACTGCCATTTCTGCTTTTTGCTTACTTGTCACACACCTAGCCCCTGAGAAAACTTTACTGTACTAGTACCTGGCATTGCTGCAGCAACTTGCACCCACAGAGTTTAATGCACTCTGCAAACACGAATGTGGCAGGGAAGTATTAATATTCGCATTTTAGAGGTTAAGGAAATGGAGGCACAGGACGTTATGAGGCTTAATCAAATGATATTTGTACAGCACTTTGAGATCCACTGAGGGAAGGTGTCACAGAAATGTTAAATGGAGCATTATTAGTGAAATATTTCTACAAGGTCACCCATTATCTAAGGGCAACATCTGGATTATGCTTTTAAAGTCAATTAAGTCTATTTTCTTCACTGTCCTATATCCTGGATGTGTAATCAACTCTACCGTGCATCCTAAGTCTGTCACTGCTTTTCAACACTCCCCTCCCATAAGCCAAACTAGGCTGTTCAAAAAGCTTTATCCATTTTAGGAACAACAGATGGTTACATTTAGCTAATCAGATGACTATCCATGTAGACTGAGAAAAATTACCTAGCATTAAATAAGATTTTTAATGTGTACTGACAGCTGAAAGGATCTGACACCTGGCCAGTGATGACTATTTGACAGAAGTCTCAAAATACAGATACTATGAAACGGCAAAAAGAAGGGAAAAGAGGGACCAGGCTCACTGATAAATATCACTAATCATAACCCACATGTACAATAAAGGTAACAAACTGTATTTACAGTTCTAATATAGCAGTGCCTTACATCTGTGTGTAGGAGAACAAAAAGGACATGTAATAGAGACACCATGTAATATAATTATGCAGATACCTAGGCTATTTTCAGCCCAACAGAAATTCCCTTCAAGGTGAGGGGAGCTCGCCTTCACACCACAAAGGTGTTAGTTATTCTCCTGCAATCATAAGAGCTATACCTGTGGTACAAATTGTTGGAGGTGGTTTATTTGGGCTAGTAGAGTACCCTTTCAAAAGTTCAAACCATACCTATTTGGAGGAAAAGCAAATAGGCGAAGGTGCTGTGTTTACTAATTGCTCATGTTCAAAAGTTGGATAACAAAGAACTTTGAACCAAGTATATGAGGGTTGGAACAACTTTGGGTACTCACCAGAACAGTGTAACCTATTTTCTTAAGACAAATGTGATGTTTCTGTAAATCCTTAATCTCACCAGATATGAAGCTATCAGAGCAACAAACTCAGCAGACAGGTCCCCAGTTTTATCCACTCAGGAAGTCTGGTATGGATTGTAGAATGGTGCAAATCATCAGATAAGAATTTCCCAAACCATCTGATTTAGCCATCTCAAAAGAAGCTGTGAGTAGAGTACTACTAAATTTTGCAGGTGGTAAATTCAAGGGTTGCAATAATATTTTATATTTATACAGCACCTTTAAAATACAAGGATCTCAAAACCCTACAGAAATGATAGACCTAGAATGCTGCTTGAGTGTAGCCACCTCTGGAGTTAGGGAGAGCACCCAGATGGGACAGCACAGTATAGTAGAGATGGACAAACCCACTACCCCTGCAGAACTGCCCTGGGGTCATGAATGTCCTTAGAGGACCCTGGTTTTTAAAGTCTTGTGCCAAAGTCAACCCGCCAAACATTGCGTGGAACTTCGATTACCTGCTTAAGAAAAGGTAAATGGCTGAGCTGATGCTTCCAGGATATGAACCTTTGGTTGCAGGGAGTGCAAAACACAGCCCACTCCACAGACATTCCCCAGCTCTCCGCGTGGGGGGCAAGGCTCAGCTTGTGGTCGGCCTGAGATTCTATCAGGATTAGTCACTGTCTGAAAGCGAAGTATTGCCGTTGGGGTTGTTTTTAAGCCTGGGTGACTATTCGGGTGAGAAAGCTGACTCCCCTTCTAGCCCCGAGCACTACCCGTGTCCGGCAGTGCCGAGCAGGCACCAACCGGAGCGAGGAAAGAGCAACTTTGGAACATTAACGAAAAGCACCTTTCTGCTTCGGCGGGGAAATAGAAATATCCGGTGAGTTTTAAAAAACTTCTCTTTTCGTGGCCTTTGTATTCCGCACACAGAGCAAACAAACCCCGCCAAGCAGCAAAACAAGCCCACCCAGCCTAACCCATTTCTCCCACAATGAAAGCAAAAGCTCTGAATCGCTAAGGCTTTCCTGCTAAAATAAACATTGCCAAACTACCGTTCGCCTAGGGCCCAGTCCTGCTCCCTGTAAACACTGGGGGTGTTGCCACTGCCGTCAGCGGGAATAGGATCAGTCGTGCATGAGCCCCTCCAACCTTCCTTTGAACAGGACAAGGGCATACCCGACGCATCCCCCCCCCCGAACAGATCTGCAACGAGAGCGAGACAGAGAGCGAAGGAGCCGGCCAAATCAGCCTGCAGATGGAGCCGCGCTGGATCCGACCCCGTGGCTCACCGCCGTGGTACGCACCTGTTTCAGCTCATTAGTGAAGTAAAGGAAAGTCACCGCCACGCAAATGGATTGCAGCAGCACAGCGGAGATCAGCACGAGCCCACAGGTCTGGCCGGCGCTGGGGCCAGCCGTCGGCAGCATCATGGTGGCTGTGCGCGCACAGGGAAGACCCACAAGACTGGGAGAGCCAGCAAGGCAAGGGCGGTTGTTATTGTTGGCTTTGTTTGAGGTGGAGCTCTTCCTGGTTGAGCAGGGCTGTAGACTTTGTCTCTCGTCCACCCCCCTTAGAGGATTTCCCTGCTGGCTGCTCTCCAGGAAATAGGGAGGGGGGGGGAAGGGGGGAGACGGCACAACAACAACAACAATCCTAAAGTCTGCACATGAAAAAAGTACAGCCACAAAAATCCAGCTTTCGTGTTTGCAAAACCGGTCTGTCCTTGAGCTCTGCTTTCTTTGCTGTATAGGCAATGCTGCTGGAAAACAGACTGGGGGGTGAATATCATTTAAATAGCTTGTGAATAGCTACGCCTTTGAGCAACCCTTTCTTTGTTCCTTGTAAAGCTATAATTTCTACCACATGCTAATACAGAGCCTGATTCGCTTGGCTCACCAGTTTTACACCTGCCTAACCCCATTGAGTTCAATGGAGTTGTGCCAGATTTACATCAGAGGGAGTGAGGTCAGAATTAGACTCTTAGGTGTATTGAAAATGCAATAAAAAAGCAACACCAAGATGCTGTTCTCCTCCATGTTGCAAGGCCAAATCCCCTCTTCCCCCTCCCTTCAAAAAAAACCACAGGGTAGGTTGGAAAAAGAAGGTACTGAAAAAAGGTCCTTCACGGAAGGGGAGCAGCAGTGGTTCTCAGCTGCCTGGCAGCCTCTGCTGGCAGTATGATCTGGGGACAGGGCTGAGGGGAAATGGATGTGGGGGAGGATAGGGGCCCTTCACAGCATCATTCCACCTTCAACCTGCGGAGAGTGTGCAGTGTAAGATATTGCTGACTTTGCCCTCCTGAACTTACCCTGGGTTTCCCCTCCTCACATTGGACTATTCTTTGAGGGGCATTTTTGGGCAGCTGCCATTAGAGAGCCATTGGAACATGACTCCTAAGAAACTGGGCTTCTGTGCAAATGCCCAAGCCATAAGCTCTGAATTCCACAAGATTTCTTGGAGCTTCAAGAAGATGAAGACCTCTTGAAAGAACAGTATGTAGGAATTGACATGTGGAATTGACATTCATGGAGATTCCTGGCCTTACTGAGGTTCTCCTGTAAGATAGCCTTTACCTGTAGAGTTGACTGGCACCTTAAAGACTAATGGATTTATTTGGGCATAAGCTTTTGTGGGTAAAAAACCCACTTCTTCAGATGTCTTCTTATGCCCAAATAAATCCGTTAGTCTTTAAGGTGCCACCGGATTCCTCATTGTTTTTGTGGATACAGACTAACACGGCTACCCCTCTGATACCTGTAGAGTTGGTGATTCCAGTCAGCTTGCTGGTGGATTGAGACCACCCCACTGGCTATTAGTTCCCTCCCAAATCAGTCTTGCCTGCCCCAAGCAATTTTGATTCTTTTCATGTGCTGCCTGCTTTTTGAGCCTTTAGCTTTCCTTTGTCCACAACCGTGAGAGCCAAGCAGGAGATTTTCAAAAGCCCCTCAGCAATTTAGGATCACAAGACTCACTGACTTTCAGTAGGATTTGTGTTTAAGGGATTTAGGCACTTTAGAAAATCTCCAGTCTAGAAACTCTTCACTTTTTATATGAAATATGAGATTCTTACATAATCACCTGACTCCAGAATCTGGGGCTTTAAGAGCAACATCAAATATCATGAGACTTATGATAAATGAAAGTTGACAGCACTGCCTCCCTTCTTCATTTCCTCCCGACACTCCTCCATCCCTGCCTTGCTGGCAGGCTCAGTAGAGAAGACTCCCCTTCTACCACTAAAGTTGGTTCCTTCGGGTCCGGGTTTTGGTACTTTGGCTGAGTTCTGTGGGCAAGCTGATATGGCTATTGTGCCTATTCGCACTCTAGTCTCCAGGGCTGTCCCTCACAAGCACTAAATTCACTTCAAAAAGATAAAACAAAACACGATTTCCAAGAGCTTTTGTTTATATGTGTTTACCAAAGCATCTGCTGCTACTAGTTCTCTCATAGATGATGGAGCCACCATAGTCTGTGTGTGGAGGGGTGTGTGGGGGGGGAAGCATGTCTTCTCTTTCCCCTCCAACTTCTCTATTTAAACTCTGAAAACTGTGTCTCTTCTACTCAGACTTTGTTCACACTAGCAAGTTGTACCTGTAGAGTTAAAGCAGTACAATTCCCCTTAGTGCGGATGCAGTTATTCTGGTACGAAGGTGCTATAAAGAACTGCCTTAAGTCACCTTCGTACCAGTATAACTGCATCCGCACTAGGGACTGTAGCAGTATATGGGTAAAAAAAAAAAAAAAAATCGCATCCCTAACTGACATAGTATAAAAACTATGTAGACCAGGCCTCAGAGGTACTGTAGCTTTGAGGAGGTGTGTGACAGACAGTGCCAATATGGATCTATTGACAATGCAGATGGTTGTGGGTTGAAATCCACAGCAAGACCTGAATTTACTTTATATTGACATTTCAGAACTATATTAGGGTTAGAGACTGTCCTGTCAGACAGGTACCCCAATGACAACCTTATATTTGTTCAACACATGAGAGGCCTACAACACAGCCTTGGGCACCACCCTTTCTTCTTGACAGATTTAGCCAGTGAAGCTGTACCAGAGAAATTTCAGTAGTGGGGCAGGTCAAAACAGCTGAGAAAATTGTGTTAGGATGAACTTGCCAATAGGTGATTGGAAGCAAAAAGTCTGTGTGCTAAATGCTGTAGCATTCAGATTTTTATTGTATCTCCCTCTCCCCCATTTGGAAACTCCCATCCCATTTCCAGAGAAACAGGACTCTCTGCCCAAGGTTTACTGTCCAAATAGAGTGGAATCAAAAGTGAAAGTAGAACAGATTTCACAGAAAGTTATAAGGTGCGCCGGGTTAGGGATTCATTCTTCATCTTGCATTTTGGGCCCTTCTATGGCCTCCCAACAGACTTCCCCCAAATCTGCAAAGTTAATGGGACTAATCATATGAGTAGAGCTACTCATGCATGTAAGTGTCTGTTGGAACAAGGTCCTTAGACTGTACGGTGCCCCCAGTGTAGGGCCATGTCCTCCTATTGTTGTTCCTTATAAGCTCCATGCACATTTATGACGCTGAATAAGTGATAAATAATAACAGGAATAAATGGTACCCCCAGTGTCCTTATTTAAAACCAAATTAATAAAGTTCACATTGAAAAAGAAAGGTGTGAAAAAAGATAAATAACATTCAAAGGCTTTTCCCCCAAAAATGATGGTGTCACATTTCATTTTGAATTTCCAAATTTCACTAACAAAAAAGACCCCATAAAATTGTATGGGTTTTCACACTAAGGTAGGATAATTTGGGAGGAAAATCAGCCCATTTTCACTATAAAATAGACATATTTAAGAGGGAAAATTGCACTCATTTTAAAGTTTCCTGTTCTGAAATTAAAATATCTTTCTTACTGTACATTGCACAGGTGAAATGTACAATTTTGCAGGTTCTGAAGGTGAAAATGACCATTCTGTGGGAATTGCACACACACTGAAACTTCTGGATTACAACATGACCTCGAAGGAATTATACAAGCTTTCATATTCCATTTAGCTAAAAACCTGTTCTGCCCTTTTGCACACTGCAGGAGCTGAAGTAGCTCACTAGCAAAAGTAATGTATCTGATCAGCCTCTGCCTAGCTGCCAAGCAATCCCTCTGTCACCCCATAAAGCCTATTCATTGACCCATGCACGGGACTTTAATAAGGGATAAACTCACTCCCTGTCCCATGACAGGATAGTGGAAGAAACCTAGGTACATAAGATCTGCATTACTCACTACACCAAGAAAACATTCTAGCTCTGCACCTCCAATCACTCTTCCCTAGATGTCTGATCAGTAGGAATCTTCAATACCTATGCAAATCTCTGTAAAACATGCTGAAGTGTCCCTATTTCCCCACTGCAGTGATGGCAGGCACATTTTCAGCATCATGAGGGGCATGGAGGTTCAAGTCTAATGCTGCATTCATGAAGATGAACATCATTATTAATATTTATAATATATTATTTGATTTATTATTTGCAGTGCAGTAGCACAGAGGAGTCATGGACCATGGCCCCATTGTGCAGCTGCTGAAAAAAGATGGTCTCTGACCTAAAGCACTTACAATCTACATACCTCCAAATGCCTAACTGGACAATATGAGCCACATGCAAATGAGGCAGACTATAGTAGATGTTCTTGCATATAGGGGCTCTCTACATTGCCACTTCTTCTTAGCAACAAGGGATGTCCTGGTTTCTCCATATGACTTTACTGTTGGTGCTATGGCTGGGGCAGAGGAATCCAGCCGATCTGGAAAAGGAAACAGCACTGTGCTGTGTTGTCATATTCTAGCTTTTCACTTCTGGAAACCATGGTCCAAATGGAACCCCTAGCTCTTTGATCACAAGTGGAATGAATCATCCCCATTTGATGCCTCAGGGCTTGTTTATACTGGGAAAGTATACAACTAAAGGTGTGACATTAATGCGCACAAGTTAAAGTGAATTAAGCCTCCCTGTGGAGTCTCTCATTCAGGAGTAAAGTGGCTTTAGTTCTCAGTTGCTTACTCCTCCTCCAGGATTAGTCCTGGCTACAACTGGGTCTCTCTATTTAGAGGTGACACAATGAAATTCACACACTAAAGCAAAGAGAAATGGGTGTTTAACTAGAACCAACTTCATGTTGTTTTAGTGGCCCGTGAACTCTTGATACCAACTGTCACAAATGGTCCAAGGCTTATCTCAGTGACAAGGTGAATGTGCACCTAGGGCTCTATTTTTAAGGCATTGCCCCAGTTTGGAGGCCTGATTCTTCCCTCACTTATGCAAATAACTGCATTAAACGGCACGATTCCTGGTTCCTTTTATGCTGGTGTGAGAGGCGAATCAGGCCCTGGGGGTAGCACATCCACACATGGGAAGCACAGCCATTACTACACCCTTGACGGAGGTAGCAGTGTGTGGTTTCCTCCATGGCCAGGCAGCTCTGATGGTCACTGGAGCCATCTTCCTGCCCTCCCTGAACCTTGTGCAGTCTTGTGTTCAGGTAAACACAAAAATTGGGATTTGGACCAGCCTTTGTATGGTGAGTGCAGGGTGCTATCAAAGGCTACTTGCATACACCCTTCCTATCTTTGTATATCTGCCTAGTGACAAATCCCAGCCT